AAGAAGTTGTCCCTCCCCCAGGTTAAGCCTTCCTCTTTTTTTATTACTAATCAGGAAGTCTTCAGCTTCATGAGACCATTGAGGCCCCAACTTGTGATCAGAGACAAACCAGAGTTATGTTTCTGCATGCCATAACCTGCTCACAAGCAAAGTGGGATTGGGCCTTAGACAACCATAGTCATGCTTTAATTACGAAATAATTTTTAAAAAAAGAAATAATTTTTCCCAAAAATTTATGTAGAATGGCTTTCGACAGTGATTATTGAGGTAGTGCAAAAGAAGTCACCTTGAAGCCCTTTCTCCAAATGCACAGGCACAGAAACCAGAGAAAAGATGGTATTTTATTGAATTAAACACAGGCTAGCTTTCCATCAAAACTGGACAAGCAGATGGCGAATGCTTGAAGTGGGCAAAGAGGGAAGCAGAAGTCCATGGTGAATGTATCTGGAGCCACACGGCCGAACTGCAGCACCACTTTGTCAGCTGTGAGAAAATCAGAATTTGAGCCTTAGTCACAGCCCCTCAGGCCCCCACTTCTAAGATGCAGACACGCATCCACCTAAGCTAGGAAGCTGTTATAGTTTGGGTCTAGATGTCCCCGCAAAGCCTCATGTGGTCATAGGCCTGATCTAGAGTGTGTGAAGCTGGAATTGATTCATGATGCAATGTTAGGCTCAAGGGCACTAGGATTGAGGGGGTGAGTGCTACCCACCCTAAGTAATCTGAACAAGATAAAAGGGGCAGAGAGATGCTGTTAACTCTCATTACCATTGCTGCCTTGTGTGTCCCATGTTGTTTCTGTTCTGGCATCCCTGTTTGTCGCCCCTGCCTTGGAGTTGGCTGATTATGGATTGAAACCTCTATGAACTGTAAGCCAAATAAACCCCTTCCCCTTTAACTCTGGGTGTCTGGTATTTTGGAGAGAAAAGTAACTAACACGGAGGCGCTCTGGGGACTGTGAACTACAATTCCCAGGAAGCATTGCAACAAGAAGGCGGCCTAGGCAAGCTCTCAAGTGCTGATGGGAGTAGTAGTTCTTAGGCGCTGATGCCCCCTGACCCGGGGAAGGCAGATCCCAGGAGCTCACGCTTGTTGGGGTTGATGATCTGGAAGTTCTTGACCGAGGCTCGAGTCACTCGCCCGTGAAAATTGAGCACGAAGGCGTCGCTCTCATCGCTCCACACCGGTGGTTTGTTTTGCAGCAGGACCACCCCCTGCCTGACGCCCCTTTGGAAGCGACTCAGTATCGATTCCTCTTCCTTTGAAGGTAAAGTAGGGGGCGTGGCGCGTTAGCCTGCACCTGCCATCTTTACCCCTTAGAACACTGGAGTTTTGTGCGTAGTCTTCATTCCCAGGTGCAAGGGTCTGGCAGAGTCCCCCAGACTTGGGAATGGAAACTGCAGCCTACCAGCCCCCTCCTCTCGGCAGCTAGGACGCCAGCCTCCGTGAGAAATTCCCGACCTTTGGAACTTACGGTTTCTGGCTGGACCCTGATTCTCTGGTTGTGGCTGTTGATTTCTGGGATGATCACAGTCATTTTTCGAGGCCCCCGGGCCCCCCAGAAATTGGGCTCCTGGGAGTATTAGATTCCAGTTGTGCTGGCTCTATCTCCTCTCCCACTCCGCCTCCTTCATATTCCTTCTCAGTCTCCCTCCCCTATCCCCTCACACTTCCCTGCGGGGACACTTACATAGCACACAGCCCCCAGCTCCTGTCTAATCCAGGTCTTATCCAGATGCGAGTTTTTCTCTTCAGGATTCAGCCCATCGTCAAAAATGACGAACCTGGTGCCCAAGATATTGGACCTGCCCCAGGCCGGCAGTAGAGAAAATAATAGTAAGATTTGTTACTCCTTGACTGTATTTTAAGTGCTCACCAAATCAGTCCCCTAGGTAAAAAGTCAGGTTCCCTCTCCACGGTCTTAGCACTCTCTTCCATACACCACACCTTTTAGCCTCCTATTTTGGCCCTTCAGGGACCCACTTCCCTCTAGCATGCAAGCACTCACATATCACAATCCCTTATTTCCTCCCTGCCTCCTGTTTCTCATCACACATTAGGGCTTTGCCCACCTGACTTTGCCCACAAAGTTGTCCCCATCCCGGGATAGGTCCCTTGGGTCCAAGGAGATGAGATAATTGGAGGTTTTGCTCCACTTTCTCTTTCGCCCAGCCAGGAGGAAGCGCTGTGGATTTAAGGAAAGCATCAGAATAGATTTCTGGGATCTGGACAGAAGTAGGAGTCCAAGACAAAGAAATGCCCTGTAACAAGAAGGAGGGGAGAGTAAGGACACTAAGTGTCCCCAAACAGGCGGGGAGACGAGCTCCTGTGGGAACCATCACCTGGGGCCTGAAGGGCAGCTTTACCTCTTACTCCCTCCCCTCCTCCTTCCCTCCAGCCATGGAGCCAGGCCTGGGCTTAGCTCAGGCAGGGCCTGGCTTGAAGAACTGAAGAACGGGGAAGAGTCCCTGAACATGGCAGCAAGACTCGGTCTGAATCTGAGCAAGCAAAAAGGCTCTTTTCGGGAAGAAGTGAGGGAAAAGAAGGAGGAAGGGAGGAAGAGACAGAGAGGAGAGGCAGCCACACTGGGAGGAGACTGGGCACACTGAGGTAGTCCTGGCTTGCCCCTGGGGGTGGGGCTTCACCCAGAGTGGGAGGGGCCTGTCAGCCGGAGGTTCCCTGAGTGGCATAGCAGGGACTGCAGCTCCCAGAGGCGGAAGTGGGCGGGCTGGGGCTCATTAGGGACCTGGCCTGACTTTGAAACTGTTGACCCCAGGCTAATGGGCTGGGCTTGGTGGTGCCACGGAATGAACCTGTGCAACTCTACGAGAAAATAAGGGGGCAGGGCTTGGCGTTGGAGTTGACAAGTCTTAGGGCTATGACAAGTGGCCTGGATCCCCGAAAACCTTGACCTTTGCTGTGGAAGGGGAGGATTTGCTCCTTGAGCTCACCTTCCAGCTGTTGGCTGCCTCTAGGTAGAGGTAGTACACGGGGAAAAGACCCTTCTCCATGCCCCTCTGGTCCCGGCCGATGCAGCACTGCACCCTTTGGCCCTCCTGTGGCGGCCGCAGCATGTACTCCTTCAGGTCCTCGCCTGGCTGAGGGCCCGGGGCCAGAGGCAGCAAGCTGGCCACGCTCCACACATCGCGGCTGACCTCGCCTTCCAGGGCCCTGGGCACTGCCTCGTTGTCCACTGCTTGGGAGTTCATTCCCACACAGTACGACTCTTCATTCTCCTCTTCCAGGTCAATGTCCTAGCTCATGCCAAATTCAAAGTTGAGGGAGAAATGTGGGCTCAGCCTTGCCAACTAGTGATTAGCCAGGCCACCAGCTCAAGGTCACACACACACACACACACACACACACACACACACACACATGCCCCGTCATCCATGGCTTCTACTTATTGATCCAGCATCTCAGCCCATGCAGCCCACCTGTGTACATCTGTTGATTGGCCAACTTCATTAGCTTCTCCCACACAGCCACGCCCACTCCACCATCCCATTGGAGAATCACTCTGAGAGCCCCGCCCATTCCCCTGAAACCCAGTGTTGTTGGGTTGTTGTGTGTTGATAACACACAGCATAGATCTGCCCAAGTGAGACTACTGCGTGTTCACCAACACCAATGTAGCGCTTTTCTTGTCATTTCTAACTGGGCCACAGAGTTGTATTCCGACCCTCCCGAGCTGTCTGAAGCTTTCCCTCCTCTGCCTACACTTAGCACCATGCCGCCTCCCACCGTGCAGAGTATCATGTCTCCATGTCTTCTCCTGTCGCCATCCATTTCACAGGCGGATCCCCACCTGAACTGCTGGTACCCATCTTCCACATCCTGGGGTTCACTCTGGTGGTATCTATCGTCCACTGAGAGGGAGAGAAAGGCAGGATTGAGCTCAGTATGCTGGGTCCCAGGAAGCTGGGTCAAGGTTGGCTGTGCTAGATGATGCCAGAACACCTGGGTTTTCAGGAAGACTCATTATTCACCGTTCCTGCTGTCACATCCTGTCCACCCCTATGCATGTGGGGTGCCAGGGCTGAGGAGTCCTGACTTCCCTGAGCCCCAGGACAGGGAGAGGTTAGAGTCCTCCACTTACCTCACCCCAGAGTGGACCCAGGGCCAGGGCCTGGGCCTGCTCAGCCAATGTTCTGCCACAATGCGGACCTAGCACCTTCAAGTCCTCTCTTTCCCTCATCCCATCCAGGGCATCAGAGAGATGGGCAGTAATACGCAGGGGTGGATTTGAGGGTGTTAATTAAGAGTCCTAGTGAGACAGGAGGTTATGGCCTGGAAAAGCTGGCTGGGGGAGTAGGCATGACTGACTGTTTTTTGTGGTTTTTTGGTACCAGGGATCAAACTCGGGTCCTTGCACTTGCGCAGCAGGCGGCGAAACCACTGAGCTAAATCCCTGGCCCAGGCATGACTGACTGTTAATCACAAGGTCCCCGAACACATGCTCAGAATAGCTCCCAAAGCCCTGCACGTGAATTTCTGGAGAGAACTCAAGCAGGTTTCAAAAGAATGCTCTAGACTTGATGTCAGCCTGAGGCGTGGGATCCCAGCACTGTCCCTCAGGACAGTGGAAGTTCTCTGGGATTTGGACAGCAAAAAAGAACACCAACACCTAGAAGCGCTCACTGTAGTGCCCTTCCTCACAACAGCCACCTGGCGTCTGCCAGTGTGCACCTTTATCTTGTTTTTTTCCTCTTTTATTCAGCCCAAGCTCACTCTGCAAAGCCAGTTTTTCCCTTACTCTTCACTTTTACTTTTTCAAATAAACTTTGCTACCGTTTTTCACTCATTTTGTCCAATTCTTTCTTTGAGATGAGAAGAACCTGAAAACCTACTCCAGAAGGAGAGGAGCACCACAAAACCCAATAACATCTATTGGCAAGCCACTTTTAGAAGGAACTACCTGGTAACACTGTCATTGAAATTATGATAAAAATAATGAACTTCCTGTAATGCTGCCACATGGATGACTCTTTAAAATATGCTTTGTTGGGGCCGGGGATTTAGCTCAGTGGTTTTGCTGCCTGCTGTGCAAGCACAAGGACCTGAGTTCAATTCCTGGTACCAAAAATAAAATAAAATAAAATTTGCTTTGTGAATGAAGCCAGACCAAAGAAATCTACACACTGTATGATTCCAGTTATATGAAAAGTGCAGAACTGGCACATCTAAAGTAGCACAGGCATTTAGCTGGGTGACTGACAAAGTTTCTATTTGAGATAATGAATGTTTCGTTTTTTTGTTTTGTTTTTTTGAATAATGATTGTTTTTGAGACAGGGTCTTGCTATGTAGTTCAGACTGGCTTTGAACTCACTAATAGCCCAGGCTAGCCTCAAACCCATGGCAATCCTCCTGCCTCAGCCTCCCAAGTGCTGGATTAAAAGTGTGTGTCACCACACACAACATGATGAATAATTTCTAAAACTGTTGTAGTAATGGTTGCAGAATTCTGCATATAGTAAAAACCATGGAATTCTACACTGTACATAAGTTATCTTTCAATAAAGCTGTCACCAAAGAAAGAAAGATGAACTGTCACATGCAGAAGGGCCAGATATAACCCCATACCAGAGAAATTTCCAAGTTGGTGGTGGCTAGCCAGCCCTGGGACGAGATCCTGAAGGCTTATGAGGCGGTGTCAGGGTGGGACAGGATGTGCCTCCCTCAACTTGAATGTCAACATTTGGGAGCCAGGCTGGGGAGGGGCTAGAGAGCTGGGCCTCGCTGGGGAAGAAAGAGCTGGAGACAGGGAATCCTGGATCAGGATAAGGAGGTTCAGGACCTGATCTCTTCCAGGTGAAGGAGGGGGTGGAATCATCAATTCCTGAGCACTCTGGAGAACTAGGATTGGGGTTTCCACCTGTTGGTGTCCTCACAAGGCCAAATTGCTGAGGACAAGGGTCCGGGGCCTGGAGATTACCTGTTTGTGTAGGCCACCCCAGGGCCCAGCAGTTCCTGCTGCCATCTCCACCACAGTTGATGGTGGCACCCAGGGGACTGTGGAACCCGGAGTCTGGATGTGTTTCTGGCATGTGCTCTCGGAGAACAGGGGCTGCAGAAAGGTGCGGCGAGGCTTGTGGAAACAACCTACAAATCTTGGTGCTCAATGAAGATCTCCCCCTCACTGGACTCCCAGATATTGGCCCTGATTTTCTGATCAAACCCTTGATTCTCTCTGAACCCAAAGTCCATGCCAAGGCTCAAATTGGGATGCCCCGGGCACTAAATTACTGCATGCTCGGTTACTAAAAACCCCACACCGACTCTCATACTCTTATAGGACCTCGGGTCTAAATCACTCAGCCAGGACCTCAAACCCAGCCTGGCTGCTATCCGGACTCGCGAGACCCCGCCCCCTGCTCCCCAAGGCGCCGCCCCCGCCCAGACACCCATGCATGTGGCCCCGCCCCATCTGTCACTGGCCCCGCCCCTGCTTCCATAACTCCTTCCCTGCAGACCAATCCTGGGCTGACTTCCAGAGGCCCTTTGTTACCTCTGTCACTAGCAAAGTGCTCCGACTGCAATCGCTGATGCCACAAAGAAGCATCGGGATTGGTCCGAACCATGAGTGGTTCTTGGCGCTTCCGTCGTTGCCTCTTCTCAAACAGCCGCCGCTGCAGGAGGTCAAAAGGGGCACCAGGGTCAGGAACCAAGGGTAGATAGGGATGAGAGGGCCCATGGAGTCTGAGAAGAGCTTCCTCCAGTGGTGCCAGGTTCCCGGGGTCACATTCCCTCAGCTCCAAGAGGCCCAGCACCCAATCCTCTCCTCCTGGGATCTAGACGTCCTAGCCAGGTGTGGTGATGCACTCCTGTAATCCTTGCACTCAGGAGGCTGAGGCAGGAGGGTTACTGTAAGTGCTTCCCCTAGTGACTTGGTCCCCAGCTCTAAAGCAAGCATATAGGATGTTTAGTGAGTTCAAGGCCACCCTGGAGTATGGAGTGAGACCCTGTCTCAAAAAACAAAAACAAAAACAGGGGCCGGGGATTTAACTCAGTGGTTCTGCCACCTGCCTTGCAAGCGGAAGGACCCAAGTTCGATCCCTGATACCAAAAAAACCCAAAAAACCCCCCTAAAAACAAAAATCCTGCCCTCTAGAACCTTTGTTCCTTAGAAATCCCAGACTGTTGTCACCAGATTTGCTTCTTTAAGATCCCAATTCCTGGGCTGGGGATTTGGCTCAGTGGTGCCGTCAACTGCCTCTCAAGCACAAGGTCCTGAGTTCGAGTACCAAAAAAATCCAAATTCCAGTGTCCTCATTTCCTAATTAGAGGACCTGAGATCCAGACAGTGCCACCATGGGTGTAGAGACCCAAAGCAAGTGTTGGGGCCCTAAAGGGGGCTCTTGGGAGGTTTGATTCCTGAGCATGGTACCTGCTGCTCCAGCTTCTGGAGCCTCAGGGCGGTGAGCTCCTCCATCAGAGTCCTGAGACAGAAACACAGGCCAGGTCCTCACTGAGAGCCTGCAGGGCACCTGCCATCCTCAGGACCCCTTCCCACCCCTGAGCAGTGAGTTCTGAGCATTGTGAGGTCACAGAAGGCACAGAATCTGAGCCTCCTGAGTCCCTTATGAAGCTCCATTCCCACACCAGCCGCCCTGAAGCCCAGCAGTGGAGATCCAGGCCCAGGCTCCCTCAGGACAAAGGAATCCTGGCCCAGCCCCTGCGGTTTCACACCCAGGAGTCTTTCCAGTGGCCCTGTCCCTGGAAGTCCCTGTCCCTGGAGTCCAGATCCCAGGCCCTTCCTGCAAGGCTGATGCGTGCCCATATGTGGTTATGAGGCCCAGGATGAATACAGGGCCCCAGTGAGCTTGAAGTCCCCTTCCACCTCCGCTGCTGCCCCTATTCAGTTTCCCCACTTACCATTTCATCCAAGAGTCGTTCTCTTGAGACATCCTGAGACATGAGGAGGAATCAGGACCAGATCCAACATCCCAGTGCACGCAGCCCTCCAACACTCATCCCAAGCTTTCCTTTTTCCAGGCAGGATCTTGCTATGTAGTCCAGGCTGGCCTTGAACTCACTGTGTAGCCCAGGCTGGCCTTGAATTTGGGGCGATCCTCCAGCTTCAGTTTCCCTAGCTCTGGGATTACTGCATGCACCACCACCATACCTGGCTCCAAGCTTTCATTTTTGTCCCAGACTCAGGAAGCCCAAACCCAGCATGCCCTCTTCCTGAAACCCAGTAGCCTGTTTCCAGTTTCCAATTCAGGGCTTTGGTCCCCTCACACCCAGCCGCACGGGGCCCCCTGCACCTCCTGCCTGGGATCCTGGAGAGCTGCTCACCCATCCTTTCGGGAGAGCTACTCACATTCCGGCCTGGGTGGTGCCTTTCCCCTGGTCACATTGCTCTAAATGTCCTGGGCACTCTCTTTGGAGCTGGGGACCAAGACCCTAGAGGAAGAAAAGGGGCTAAGAGGCAGGGGAAATTCCCACAGGGACCTGCCCAGGTCCTTGCTCTTGGCCTACCATGCTCCTCTTCCAACAATGACCCCTGACCCCACTGCAGGGGTTCTAAATTGGAACTGCATGTGAGTATTCCTTAAAGGGACCCCAGAGAGGCTACCTACAGGTCTCGCTTAGTATTGGGGGGTGGGGTGTTAAATCAGAGTCACTACGTAGTCCAGGCTGGCCTCGAGTTTGCAATGATCCTCTTGCTTCAGTCTCCTGAGTGTTGGGATTACAGGCAGGCACTGCCACTGCCAGCTCAAACTCGCAGATAAAAGCGCGGTGTGGTGGCCCCCACCTGTAGTCCCAGCACTCTGAGAGGCTGAGGCAGGAAGATTCAAATTCAAACCCAGTCCAGGGCCGGGGATTTAGCTCAGTGGTTTCGCCGCCTGCTACGCAACCACAAAGACCCGAGTTCGATCCCCAGTACCAAAAAAACCCCCCAAAAAAACCCAATCAAACCCAATCCAAGCAATTTAGCAATTTAGTGAGACACTGTCTCAAAAAATTAAAGAGGGGGGCCGGGGATTTAGCTCAGTGGTTCCACCGCCTGCTTCTCAAGCGCAAGGACCCGAGTTCGATCCCTGGTACCAAAAAAAAAGAAAAAGAAAAAAATTAAAGAGGGAGGCTGATGTAGTGATGTAACTCAATGGGAAGGATCTGGGTTCAATTCCCCAGTACCAAAAAAAAAAAAAAAAAAGGACAGAAGAAGATTATAAGGTGGGTGGTGCAACTTCCAAAGACCGAACTCTTGCAGGCACTTGTGGGGCGAAAATAAATGCGAAAACTACATCTCCCGTGAGGCGAAGGGGCCAATGTGCCCGCGGAAGTTGCCGCCTCTTCCCGCCTGCAGGGAACCGTAGCTCCTTCCGAAAGTCCCGTCTGCCTTTCACCTACCAGGCAGGAAGCGACGCGTCCCGCACCGGCTTTTCCAGCAAGGAGGCGTGGGTTTCGAGAATGGGCGAGAGAATTCGTAGAGGGGTGGGGCCACTAGAAGTGGACGGAAGGACCAATCAGGCTTTTGAGGCGAGTCCTATTCAGGAAGTGGGCGTGGTCTAAGGGGCGTGGGGGGGGCGGAACGCTAAAACGCGCCGGAGGTCCTATCCCGGAAAACGCCCTCTGCGGTCAAGGTGAGGGGGTCGGGGTCCCCGACTTTTGGGTACTGGGAGGAGGGTGGCCAGAGGACGGGGACCCTGGGAACTGAAGGACAGGGGCTGAATGTCAGTACTTGTAGAGCCTGGGGAAAGAGGAGCTGGGGCCTGAGGAGGGTGCAGGAGCCAGGACCATGGGGACTGAGGACCCGGCTGCTGTGTCGCAGGAAGGGGAGGTGAGAGGCCTGGAGTCGCGGGTCGCAGGTAGCGAAACGCGCTGCGTCTCGATTCCTGGGAGAAGCCTGCTGGGCCCTGGATGCTGGGATCGCGAGCTCGGGACTATCCACCGCCTGCCTCGCCTCCCACCAAGTGCGCCATGCCGCCCTCCGCGCCCCGCCGAGCCCTCGTCGTCTTGCTGTCGCCCCTCCTGTGGCTGCCGGCCGTGCTGCCCGTGCCCATCGAGCGGGCCGCTGCCAACCAGGAGCCGAGCCCCGCTACCGAGAGCCCGGTGAGTGGCCCCGCCTGCTCCCAGGGATGCAGTCCCCGCGTCCCCGGCGCGCCTGAAACAACCCAGGCTCTCCTGCCTGGTGGCTGTGGCTGGCCTTTCCCCTGCCGTTTTCCCCTGCAATAAGGGGCGAGGGGGTGACTTGGTGAAAAACTGGGAGTCCCCGACTCTCAGATGTGGAAAACCAAGTCAGATATTGAGTGAAAAACTCACTCTCACCTAAACGTTTCTGTTCAAGGTCTAACCCACTGAGAAGGAACGAGGGGAATGGGGGCAAAACAAGTGAGAACAACACCATTTCCCAGAAGGGCCAGGAGCACTTGATCATAGCTAACCAGGGTATTCTGACTTCCTGGGAAGTGTGGTTTAAACTACAAAAGGAGCCAGGTGGTGGGATACACCTGTAATCCCAGCACTCAGGAGGCTGAGGCAGGAGGGTTGCCCCGTGAGTTTGAGAGCAGCCTGGGGTACATAGGGGGACTTGGTCTCAAAAAATAAAATTTAAAAAAATTACAAAAGGGCACATGAATGGCTCATCATTATTGTTGTTTTGTTGTTGTTGCTGTTGTTTGAGACAGGGTCTCGCTATGTAGTTGAGACTGGCTTTAACCTTGCATTGATCTTCCTGCCTCAGCCTCCCCAGTGCAGGGATTACAGGTGGGCACCACCAGGCCCAGTATGAATGGTTTATTAACTCCAACAGGTGTTTGTTAAACCCTATTAAACCTTTGGTCTTCTGAGTTGGAACTTTAAAGATCAAGCGCCCTGATTTGTGTCCCGATTCCTCCTGTAGCTCACTGCTAGGAATGGGCCTATGGTTGCCTCCTGGAATAGATCATTCTGTGCAACTATGTGGCAGGTCCTCATCCAGCATGGTAGGCCTAAGCTGTGAAATCTTTGCAGACACAGAGGGGTCCCTTCCAGTCTGCTTCCCCTTAGTTCTCCTGGGCACCTTCCATGAACCAGGCCAGGTACCGTGCCAGCCACTGCACATGGCCACTGAAAGCTCCATGTCTTGGGCAACCTGATTCGCCGGGGAACAAAAGGCAGGACAGGGCTTTATGAGCATGGACACCTCCAGTGATGGTCAGGATGTATGAGCTGAGTGCTGAAGTGGCAAACATGTGAGGTCAAGAACAGAAAAGAACCCAGGCACTGTGGTGCACACCTGTGATCCCTGTGCTCTTGGAGGCTGAGGCAGGAGGATCTATAGTTCAACCCCAGCCTGGACAGTTTAGCAACTTAGTGAGACCTGGCCTCAAAAAAAAGAAAAAGGAAAAGGCTGTAGCTCAGTGGTAGAGCGCTTGCTTAGCATGCCTTGTATGCCTAGCATGCCAGAGGCTCTGAGTTCTATCCTAGCACCACTAAACAAATAAATAAATAAATATGCAGGAGGCCATGTATAGGTGGTGTGCAAAGACTGCCCTTAAATAAGGGGCTCAGCACAGTGGAGTGAACCAACCCACCAGTGATGCCAGGGGATGAAGAGTGCCTGCCTTACAGACAGGAAGTGGAAGCATGAGGCCCAGGCTAAGGCAGGAGGCCAGGGATCTTGATCTTGTCCCTTGCTACCACCCCTAGACGTGCAATGCCTGACCTGTGGAGGGGTCTGTCAATGCTTGTTGCAGAATGAGTGAGGGAACGAATGAATGAATGAATGAATGAATGTGTGTTTCCCGACAAATCACCTCCAGGCACACTTCTCTGGGCAGTGTTGGGCTAATACTGAAGAGATTTCCTTTTTTTTTTGGTACCAGGGATGGAATTTAGGACCTTGTGCTGCTGAGCTAAATCCCCAGCCCTGAGATTTTCTTTGTTTTGAGACAGGGTCTCAGTATGTAGCCCATTCACAGGGAACCTCCTGTCTCAGCCTCTTGAGTGCTGAGATTACGGCTCTCACCCACATGATTTTCATTTCATCTGCACTGCAGACCTGAGGAGAGCTGAACACCATGGCTGGCGGGTCAGGGCCTTGCCTGAGATTACACAGCAGACAGGATTGGAACCAGGTGTGCTGGCCCCCGGAACCCTTGTCCCATGAAGCAGGCCTCCTGCTTGTGCACAGGGTCTCTGGGTCCCCCAGCTGCTGCTTTAGAGCAGCACCTTGGTCCTGCTGTGGGAAGGACCTGGAAGAGGGTGGGGCCAGGGCTTTTATGTGTGTCTTTGTCACCCAGGACACGGGCCTGTACTACCACCGGTACCTCCAGGAAGTCATCAATGTGCTGGAGACGGACGGGCACTTCCGAGAGAAGCTGCAGGCCGCCAATGCTGAGGACATCAAGGTGCAGTGGGCATGGAGTGAGGGTGCTCGTAGGGCAGAGTCCCAGCCAGAGGTGGTGTGTGGAGGGCAGCGTCGGACCGTGGGGGTTTGTGTGCAGCAGAGGGTGCCTTCTGCTGCCTTGTGCTGTTTGCTGGTGGCTCCTCTTTTTCTTCTTTCAGACAGCATCTTGCTTGTAATCCAGGCTGGCCTTGAACTCATGGTGGTTCTCCTGCCCCAGCCGCCTGAGTGCTAGGATGACAGGCTACTTTGAGTTATGAGGGATAGTAGGATCTGGTTAGACTCAGAAAGGGGGCAAGAGAGCCCCAACAGGAGGATCAGCGGCTGCCAGGGCCCTGGGGTGGGGAACAGGCTCAGGGCCTGCAGCTACCCAAGCAAGCATGTGATGTGCAGTGTGCCGGGGCCGGGTTCTCAGGGCTGCAGGGGCCACAGGTGTCGGGCTGGGCCTGGAACACTGTGAGTAGGGAAGGGTGCAAGGGGACAGAGAACAGAGGACAGGACAGAGCTGACCAGCCCGCCCTGTCCCAGCAGAGTGGGAAGCTGAGCCGAGAGCTGGACTTCGTCAGCCACCATGTCCGCACCAAGCTGGATGAGCTCAAGCGGCAGGAGGTGTCGCGGCTGCGGATGCTGCTCAAGGCCAAGATGGACGCCAAACAGGAGCCCAGTGAGCTCGGCATGGGTGGAGGTTGGCGGGGAGTCTCTTCCCTGGCACACTCTCGCTACTCCAGTTGCTTCCCATTTTAATATTTTTCTTTTTACATTTAAATGTTGTGGTTGTTTCACCATGCATGGTGGCACACCATGTCCTTCCAGCACTCTGGGAGGCTGAGGCAGGAGGATCCCTAATTCAATTCAGGCTGGGCAACATAGCGATTTAGTGAGGGTCTGTCTCAAAATAAAAAATAAAAAGGGCTGGGAATGTAGCTCAGTGGAAAGGCCCTGGGTTCAATCCCCAGTACCAGAAAAAAAAAATCATGGTCATTTAATTTTTTTTTTTTTTGTAGTGCTGAGGATGGATCCCCTATTTCCACTGTGCCCACCCCACATGCTAGGCAAACACCCTGTGGCAGGGCCTCACCCCCAGCTGGACTTCTGTTACTTCTATGCCCTGTCTCCTTAGAATGATTCTAATTTCTTTGTATTTATATCAGAGACTACACACCCATCTATGCGTAATATATGCACACACACATTTCTTCAGCTTGTTTTGTAGTACCCACACCCTTGTTCATGCTAGGCAAGTGCTCTACCATTGAGTTATACCTCCAGCCCTTTTTTATTTTGAGACAGGGTCTTATTAAGTTGTCCAGGCTGGATTGGCACTTGGAACCCTCCTGCTTCAGCCCCCTGGGTGCTGGGATTGTAGGCGTGTGCCACCACGCCTGGCTGCTTATTCTTTTTTTTTTGTACTGGGGATTGAACTCAGGACCTTGCGCTTTCGAGGAAGGTGGCTGCACCACTGAGCTAAATCCCCAGCCCCGCTTATTCTTGTTTTGAGCATCACACTCAGTGACAGGATCCCTGCCTGGACCAGCCTGGGTGAGCCTGAGACCTCAGTGGGGGCGATGGGAGATAAGGGAAAGACACATACACAAACACACACACACATAAAGAGAAAGCTGGGCCAGGTGGGACACAGCCCTCTGATGGGGAAACTTTGACCCATTGCCTGGTCAGTGTGTTTATTTTATACAGTTTCAAGAGGGAGTGTTCATGGCCGGTTTCACGAAGAACAAGCTCTCATTATATTGAGAATGTGGAAAGTAGGACATTCTCAAGGCCAGCCAGCTGTGCTGCAGTTAGTTATCTGGAATGCAGAGCTCTCCATGCTGCTCCCTTATTGCCTGAGATGCTAGAGGCCAGGAGCTGAATACAAGAAGTCTGAAGACCCTCAGCTCCCTACAAACCCCCTCCTCCAGGACACCCTCCCTGATTGCCCCAGGCCTGCTCTGCCCTCTCAGTGCCTCCTGCTACCTTCTGACCGCCGTCAGAGCCTGTCTGGCCTGAATGCTGTTCTTTTTGACTCCTCTTCACCTAGATGTTCAGGTGGATCACCTGAGTCTCCTGAAGCAGTTTGAACACCTGGACCCTCAGAACCAACACACGTTTGAGGCCCGAGACCTAGAACTGCTGATCCAGACAGTAAGGGAGTTGGGGAGTGGCTGGGGGAGCCAGACAGAGAGGGAATGGGGTGGGACAGAGACTGGCAGAGATGGATCATTTCTAAGCAAGTTCCGCTGCTTCCTCTTCCTTCTCCTCTTCCTCCTCTTCTTCCCCTTCCCCTCTTCTTCCTCTTTCTCTTTTTTCCTCCTCTTCCTCCTCTTCCCTTCCTCCTTTTTTTGTCTTCCTCCTATTTCCCTTCCTCTTCCTCCTCTTCTTCCTCCTTTTCCTCCTCTTCCCCTTCTTCCAGTTTTCCCTTTCTCTTCTTTTTTTTTTTTTTTTCAAAGTAAGTGATTTATCTTTGAGCTACATCCCAGCTCTAAAACTATCCCTACGGAAAAAAATAAAATAAAATAAAATAAAACCATCCCTAGCACTATGGTCTGGGGGAAAAAAAAAAAGCCTGCCATAAAGCTGGGTGAAGGGTGTACACCTGTAATCTCAGGACTTAAGGTGACAAGGCAGGAGGATTTCCATGAGTCTGAGGCCAGCCTGGTCTACATAGCAAACCCTGCCCCTTCCCCACCTGCAAATCCTGCTCCCTTCTTCCACAGGAAAGCAGGAGACACCAGCAGAGCAGCCAATAGATCCTTCCAATCTGGCTCTGCTCCAGCCCTGGGTTGATCCTTCTATAGGACTTGGGGTAAGGACTGTCACCTCTGTGTCCTTGCCATGGGCTGAATTGATGCCCTCCCATCTCCAGAATCTGACTGTGTTTCATGACAAAAGGACTGGCCGGTGTGATTCATCAGGCCCTCTGGGAGACTGAGGCAGCAGGGCCACGAGTTCAAGTTTAGCCTCAGTAACTTAGCGGAATAGAGAATCTGTCAGGCTGCCACGGCTCTGATCCTACCCCTCGGCCTGGTGTCCCGGCCTGGCCCAAGCTCTGCTTTTTCTTTTTTTTTTTTTTTTTTTGAGACAAGGCCTTGCTACGTGGTTCAGATTGGCCTTGAACTCACTATGTAGCCCAGGCTGGCCTGGAACTCAGAGCAGTCCTCCTGCCTCAGCCTCCCAAGTGCTGGGATGACAGGCATGCACCACCATCCCGAGCCTCCAAGATCTTGAGACTGGAGGACTTGAAAGGTGGTCAAAGTCGAAATTGTGCAGTTGTCATAATTGCTTTTGAGGAGCAGCCATGGAGAACACAAAATGAGACCAGGCCACAGGAGGTGGTGCAGGAACAGCTTCACTGCCAAGGGCCCCCCTTTTTAGGGCTGGAATTCAATGAGAGGAGAGTGATCTTTGTCCTCCACAGGCCACCCGGGACCTTGCCCAGTACGATGCGGCCCATCATGAAGAGTTCAAACGCTACGAGATGCTCAAGGAACACGAGAGACGCCAATATCTGGAGTCCCTGGGAGAGGAGCAGCGGAAAGAGGCAGAACGGAAGCTGGAAGAGCAACAGCGCCGGCACCGGGAACACCCCAAAGTCAATGTGCCAGTAAGGACCCCCATGTGCGCCCACACCCTAGAAGCCACAGGACTGAAGTGGTTAGAGAACTATAACTCCCAGGAGCCCCCGGAAAAAAACTCTTTGTTACTGTACCAAACTGCCCCCAGGGCTGCTGAGAATTATAGTTTTCTTACTTGAGGGCCATGACTTTTGTTGGATAAAGGTAAGGGTTTTTCTGGCTCTAACCCATGCCACCCAGGCTCCTTGCTCATAAGCTCCTGGCTCTTCTCTCCACAGGGCAGCCAAGCACAGTTGAAGGAGGTGTGGGAGGAACTGGACGGATTGGACCCCAACAGGTTTAACCCCAAGACCTTCTTCATCTTGCATGGTAAGGCGTGGAGGGGCGGGTGTCACAGACCCAGGCCAAACCCAGAGGCTCTGACCTTTCCAGGGCCCAAATGTTAGGGAAGTGGGCCATCTCTAGGAGGCCCAGGCCCATCTCCCCAGCCCACCCCAAGGCCCTACTCCTCGCAGTTGCTGGGTCTTCCATGGCACACCAGGCCTCTTCTGGGATCCGGCAGCACCTTGGGCTCTAAGCACTGACCAGGAGCCACGTCTCTGGTGGACCAGCTGCACCTTCCCCTTCAGTCACTCCCTCGCTCCCTGAGACCAGGGCCTGGGGTAGCCCAGGACCCTGACCTGGAAGCCGAAGGCCTTCAGCAGAGCTCAGCGCAGCCTGAGCCTTGTCCATATTTCCTAAGCACCACTAGGGACCGATCTTTGTCAGGCCTGGGAACAAAACTGTGAACAAGTAAGAGTTCCTCCCCTACAGTGCAACAGACTGGAGCCATATGAGGCTGAAGTGAGTTCGAGTGGTAACATGCCTCCTGATTTTAGGCTTGGTAAAATACAAAAGTGATAAAAGGGCAGCCGAAAATTGATGAAATACGTCCTCTAATAGTCTCAGGAGGTGGAAAGAAGACAGCCAGACTAGGGCTGTAATCTCAGCACTCTGGGAGGCTGAGGCAGGAGGATTGCAATTTCAAGTCCTCCCTGGGCAATTTTTTTTTTTAATTTTTAAATTTTTTTCTCCCTGGGCAATTTAGTGAGACCCTGTCTCAATAAGAAAGAGCTAAAATGGGCCGGGGATTTAGCTCAGTGGCCCCTGTCCCTTGCAAATGCAAGGTCCTGAGTTTGATCCCTGGTACAAAAAAAAGAAAAGAGCTGAAATGTAGCACAGTGTTAGAGCGGCCCTAGGATTCAATCCCCAGTACTGTAAGAAAGAAAAAAAGGGGCCAGGGATTTAGCTCAGTGGTTTCGCCACCTGCTGTACAAGCGCAAGGACCTGAGTTCGATCCCCGGTACCAAAAAAATGGACAAAGAAAGAAAAAAAGGACCCAGGATTAAGGGGTGGAAGTAGCTACTGTAGGTAGCATGATCTGCCTGGGTTTTTAAACCAGTGCCGTCCAAGTGAAATCCAGCCCAGCAGCCACCAGCCCTGAATGGCTACTGAGCAGTTGAAATGTAGCTTGTGTGGCTGAGGGACTGGGTTGGGGTTTTTTTTCACTTTTAGTTTTGATAAATGAAACCAATTTGTTTATTTATTTATTTAGGGTGTTTTGAGACTGGACCTCACTCTGTAGCCCAGGAGTGCTGGGATTACAGGGATGCTCTGTGACACCTGGCAGTTCGAACCTTTTTTTATCTAAAAAAAAAAAAATTAAACCTGTAATCCCAGTACTGGGGAGGCTGAGGCAGAAGGGTCGCCATGAGTTTGAGGCCAGCCTGAATTACATAGTAAGACCCTGGCTAAAACAAAACAAAAAGTGCAGTTCAGGGCCAGGGATTTAGCTCAGTGGTGCTGCTGCCTGCCTCGAAAGCTCAAGGTCCTGAGTTTGATCCCCGGTACCATAAAACAAGAAACAAACAAAAAAAGTACAGTTCAGAAAAGTTAAGTGTATCTACATTGTTGTGCAACCAATTCCCAGAAATGTTTTCATCTTGCCAAACTAAAACTATAGACCCTTCCAACAGCTCCATTTCTCTCCCCTCCCAGCCCCTGGTATCCAACATTACACTTTCTGTCTCTTCAATTTTGTTGTTGATGTTGGGAATTGAAAACGGGCTTTGCCCTAAGCTATATTCCCAGTTCACTCTTTACTTTTTATTTTGAGACAGGGTCTCAGTAAGTTCCCCAGGCTGTGCTCAAAATTGCAATCCTCCTGCCTCAGCTTCCCGGAGGGAGGGAGACAAAGTCAGAGTCTAGAGTCAGCTTGAAGGCCAAGCTAGGACATGCAGAGGGTGAGACACAGGTTGTAAGGGGAGCTCCAGGGTGTTTGGCCCCAGTAGCAGGGAAGCTAGGCCTGTTGATGTGAAATCAGAGGCCTGCGCTGGCTGTGGTGGTGCATGTGGAAATCCTGGCCCTCAGGAATTCGAATTCCAGCCCCACCTGGACATCTTGGCACCTTAGCAAGACCCTGTCTCAAAGTGAAAAAGGGCTGTCGATGTAACTCGGTCAAGGCCCTGAGTTCAATCCCCAGTAGCAATGAATGAGTGGATGAAAGAGTTAAAAACTAAATAGAAGCCCCTATGGCACATCCGCATGGAGGAGGGCAGTCAGCACTCGGGTGGAGGTGGCTTCTGATGGCATAGATATCCACCAACCACCTACAGCTGTTGTGTATTATTACTGCATAACAAATAGGATGAATAAACTGAACTTTTTTTTTTTTTTGGTACCGGGGATCAAACTCAGGACCTTGCGCTTGCAAGGCAGGCGCTGGAACCATTGAGCTAAATCCCCAGCCCTAAACTGAACTTTTAAGTCTTATTTTTTTTCCTCCATGCTGGGAATCAAAACCACAACCTTGCAGGAGCTAGTCAAGCCCTCTACCACTGAGCCACATGCCAGCCCCTAAATCTTATTTAATCTTAACGTCTGTAGCCATGATGGGAGGGGTGGCCAGAGAGCACAGGACGTAAATAAAACACAAGATCAGGCTTTCCGGCCACCTCGGCAGGAGGAAGGTCAGTGCTGCGTGTGGGCAGAGGGGAGTGTGGCCATCAAAGGCCTGGAGCCCCACAGCTGGCAGCTGCCCTGGCAGCCTGAGTCAGCAATGGCCTGGTTCCTGGGGCCGGGGTTTAGCTCAGTGGTTCTAATGTTAGTATATGTGCTGCCGAAGCAAGCACTAGCTCAGTGGTTCCGAAGCCTGCCAGACCTTGTCTGCTCTGTTCTCCGGGACCTTGGTTTCGAGTCAGTAGCTGTCCTAATGACAAGCCCAGTGGGGGCCTGACGTCAGGGGACACCATCCCACTGCCAGAGACTGGTCCTCACCTGCCCTCTGGTAAGGGATCCACAGCAGCCCAGCAACCCTTCAGCAGTTGTCCCCCTGGGGACCAGATCCACCCTGTCCCCATTCCCCTGATAAAATTGTCCTCTCTCTCAGATATCAACAGCGATGGGGTCCTGGATGAGCAGGAGCTAGAGGCCCTCTTCACCAAGGAGGTAAAGGCCATGGGTTACGTGGGGGACTTGGCCGAGGAGTGGATGGTTAAACTGCAGGGCAAAAGCACGCAGGCTCTGTGAGGAGCGAGTGGTTAAACAAGAAGTTTAGATTAGTGAGGCTTGTTGTGTCTGCCTGTTGTCCTTCCCCTTTGGCCAAGAAAACTGTCCAGTTCTAAAAACCTATGACAGTTCCAAAAACCTGAGGGTTCTTGGCTTTGGCGCTTCTCCTGGGAGTCACCCTAACGTTATGCCCTTGCCTGAGACAGGCCCTCTCACCTTCTCCATGATTGAACTAAGTCTCATCTCCAGGTAGTGTTTCATTCTCTATACCATGACAGGGGCAGGGACACCTCAAGCAGCCACATGTCCCCTCAGGGAACCTCCTACTCCCCCAAGAGCCCCTAAGGGAGAGCTGAGGAAAAACTACAATTCCCAGCAGCCCCCTGGGGCAAAAAGAATGTGGGGCGTGGCAGTACACCCTAGGGCCGCTGGGAGTTGAAGTCAACTGGTGTGGTAGGAGGTGGTCCCCTTGGATCACTCAGCACTTCCCACTTTTTTCTCTCTTGGCTGTACAGCTGGAGAAGGTGTATGATCCAAAGAATGAGGAGGATGACATGCGGGAGATGGAGGAGGAGCGGCTGCGCATGCGGGAGCATGTGATGAAGAACGTGAGAGAGAAGACCAGGTGGCTGAGTGGGGGTGCTGGTCCCAGCTCTGTCCTTACTCATATCTGGCTCCCCAGGTGGACACCAACCAGGACCGCCTTGTGACCCTAGAGGAGTTCCTCGCATCCACCCAGAGGAAGGAGTTTGGGGACACCGGAGAGGGATGGGAGGTGAGGACATGGGTCTCTGTCACCCCCATGGACCTCTGTCCCACCTCCCAGGCTTTCCTACCCATCCTGTACCCCTCTCTGTCTTTCTTCCCCGTCTGGGGTTTCTGTACCACTCTCTCTCAGATTCTGCCCCCATCTGAGGTCTCTGTTCCCACCCTGGGCTTCTGTTGTCCCCCCCCCCCCGTTACCCTACACCCCACTTCCTGCCAGGTCTCATAGCCTCCACTAGGACCCTTGGCATTGTCCCCACTGATGGCCCTGTCTGTGCTCTGCAGACTGTGGAAATGCACCCTGCTTACACGGAGGAGGAGCTGAGGCGCTTCGAGGAGGAGCTGGCTGCCCGAGAGGCTGAGCTGAATGCCCAGGCCCAGCGCCTCAGCCAGGAGACCGAGGCCCTCGGGCGGTCACAGGACCAGCTTATAGCCCAGAGGCGAGAGCTGCAGCAGGTGATGGCAGGAACTGGGGCCCTCATCTGTGTCCATGGGGTCCCCTGAGGCTGTTCAATGCTCAGGTAGTCATCACTACCTTAAATGAGATCAGGTATGTCGCTGTCCCCACAGTGCTACAGCTGCCATGTGAGTAGAGGGCAGAAGGGGTCGGTGAGGGATTCATTGTTCTCAGGTGGGATGCAGCCATGATGGCGGAGAACTGCGATTAAGTAAGCTCAATATCAGAGAGAAAAACTGAGGCCCACAAAGAGGGGACCTGACTGGAATCACTTAACAGGTGGCTGCAAGGTTTCAGCTTAGGGACCGAGGCTGGAGCATCTGGGGATTGCAATGTCAGAGTCTCTTCTGTATTACCCTCTCTGGCAGGCCGTTCTGCAAATGGAGCAGAGGAAGCAGCAGCAGCAAGACCAAAACCCACCCCCTGCCAACCCCCAGGGACAGCTCAAGTTCCACCCAGACACAGGTGCTGCCCTGGCCAGGGACAAGAGGCCAGGACCCTGGGTCTGAGGGAGGAGGCTGGGCCATGACTCTTGGGTCCTTGGGATACCTGGTTGTGTCTCTCACCATTTCCTGTCATTTCCAGATGATGCTCCTGTCCCAGCTCCAGCCAGTGACCAGAAGGATGTGCAAGCTTCTGAAAAGAAAGCTCCCGAGCAGTCCCCAGAAGTGCCCCAGCTGGATTCCAAGCACCTCTGACCCTCAGGGCCCCGCCCTCCAACTTCCCGGCAGATGAAGTGTCCCATCAGCCTTCTCTGGGCCGCCCCATGCATGGCCTCTGGAAGGGGGGACACAGTGACACCACACATTGCTGCTCAGACCCACATGTGCCCTTCTCTGCCAGTCTGTTTCAAAGCCTCCAAGTTGTGGCCTGTCTTTCCATCCCCTTCCGAGCACCTGTGCCCTTCCCACATGGCCTGGCCTCAGCCACTCCATCTGAGTCCCTTGGGCACCCTGAGGCCCACAGCAGAGTCATGCCTGCCACTCGAGGCCTGGTTAGGGTGGTTTGTGGGGGCTGGGGTGGGTCCTCAAGACTTTCTGCTGCCTTCTCTGAGCCAGCAGTGCTGCTGGGTCCCCTCCATGGATGCTAAGGCCAAGGTCCTTGGTGTGACTGGGCAGGACTGTCCCTGGGCCTGGCCTCCAGCCACCTCGTAACCAGCCACTTCTCCACACTGGCCATGTGCAGAAGGCCCTGAAGTTGGTGCCAGCTGCCTATCTGATTGTTTGCCCTGCTCTGTGCCCCGCTCCATGCTCCAGTTCCATCCAAATACACCTCCAGGAACAATCTATGCTTCCATGTCCTATGCTTCCATGTCCTGTGTGTGTACCGTCCCTTCCAATCATATGTGCATGTCACCTGCCAGGGTCCTCACCATTTTATATTCAGCTCACACATCACCTCTGAGTGGCTTACATGGGAGTCTTTTAGCCACAAGGATGGAAGATCAAAACTGAGCTTAGCCAGGGATTTAGCTCAGTGGTTCCGATGCCTGACTTGAAAGCGCAAGGTCCCGAGTTTGATCCCTGGTACCAAAAAAAAAAATTGAGTTTAATTTATACTTTTTTAGTTGTTTTTGTTTTGTTTGAGATAGGGTCTCACTATGTAGCTCATGCTGACCTTAAATTTATGGCAATCCTCCTGCCTTAGTCTTCCGAGGCCTAGGATTACAGGTATCCACCACGATGCCTAGCCTGAGTTTAAACAATTTTTAAAAAATGTATTATTGACTCAAGCAAATTCCCAAGATATGGTAGCTTCGGGGTTGTTAGGGAAACTTTTTCCCATCTGTCTGTGCTGTGATAGGTATTGGCATAGTATTCCTTTCATGCTCCCAAAGTAGCTGCAGCTGCTCCAGATGTCAACCTTATCTGCACCAAATATCAGACAAAAGAATAAGCCCCGTCTGTCCTGAGCTTTGTAAGTAGGAGGAAGTCCACCCCCAGAGCCTTGTCCCTCTGTAGCTCTTCATAGGCTGTTGGCCACGAGGCAGAAGTGATAGCCATGGGTCTCCCCAGGAGCCACCTACCTGTGATGATTCTCACTTGAGATGGGGACACAAGTGTCCCCACTGAGCCATACCCAGCCCTAAAATTCTATTTAAAGCTTTGTTTTTTGAGACAAGGTCTCACTATGTAGTTCCAGCTGACCTTGAAATCACTTGTAGTCCAGGCTGGCCTGGAACTTAGAGTGATCTTCCTGCCTCAGCCTTGAGTCCTGGGGTTACTGGTATGCTTAAAATGGGTTATTGATACTGCTCATTAAGCATGTGGTAAGGCTCAGCACAGTAAAAATAAACACACCAGCAAAAAAACAAAATAGATACACCAGGGGAGGGCTCATTAGCACAGGCATGTATTCCTAGCACTCAGGAGGCTGAGACAGGAAGGTCACAAGTTTGAAGTAGACCTGGAGGACATAGGCCATCTGAAGAATAAGCCAGGTGTGGTGCCACACACCTATAACCTCAGCATTCTAGGAGGCTGAGGCAGAAGAATTCCAAGTTTGAGTCCAACCTGGGGAATTTAAACCTGCCTCAAAAACCAAGAGTGCCAGGGATGTATCTCAGTGGACCTGCGCCTGTCTGGCAAGCACAAGGTCCTGAGTTCAATCCCCAGTACAAAAAAAACCCTGGGATGTAGCTCAGTGCAAAACTCCTGGTTCAATCCCTCTCCTGGGAAAACAGATAAAATGAGGATGGCAAGTTAATACCTACCTGGTTGCCACATTGTATACAGTAAATGCAGCAAGCTTGGTTTAATACTATGGCAGCACAATTTTTCATGCTTTTTTCCCCCAGCCCTATAAATTGTTACTTAACAAGCATGGCCGGGGATTTAGCTCAGTGGTTCTGGCGCCTGCCTCATAAGCACAAGGTCCCAAGTCCAATCCCTGGTACCAAAAAATAATTTATATCCAGTTCACCAGTTTAAGTGGAAAGTTCAAGGTGTCAAGGCAAAAGGAAAACACCAGGCTTTGCAATAGCCACATGAGAGAACAAACCAGTCTTTAGTGATAAGGCAATAAGGAAAAATCAAACTTCGTATTAAGAAAGCAAGCCACCATCCTCTCTCAAGATAAAATGGTGAAGCCACGTGTGGTGGCACAGGCCTGAGATCCCAGCACTCTGAGAGGCTGAGCCAGGAGGATCACAAGTTCAAGCCCAGCCTGGAGACTTCAGCAATTTAGACCCTTTCTCAAAATAAAAAGGGTTGGGGATGTGGCTCCGTGTGAAGGCCCTGGGTTCAATCCCTAGTACTGTTGTGTCCAGTGGGAGTGTGGGGAGACTATGGGTCCCTGTAATGACCCTCCGCCTCTCTTCAGGTCCTTGCCCTCACTCCAGTGAAGAATGAAAACGTGGCAGAAAATGGGAGTCAAGACTGGTATAGTGTGAAGCTAAATTTTAAAGTGTGGCAAATGCAGAGAAAGCAGAAGAGCCATCTTAGCAGCAGAGTGGGGGCCTCCTGCTGGAGAAGTGCCCGTATTTATGAGTAAAGCTGTTTTGGGCTGGGGATTTAGCTCAGTGGCACTGCCCCTGCCTTGCAAGCACAAAGTCCTGAGTTAGATATCGGGTACAAAAAAAAAAAAAAAAAAAAGAATAAATCTGTTTTGTTGATTGGTGTGGCCTAGACCAATCAGGGTCTGGGCTTTTTTTCACCAAAGAGGATAAGGTCAGCTTACGGTAAATATAACACTTTCATAAGGATATGTTTTCTCATACATGGTACACAGATAAGCATGTTGATTTTGCAATCATCAGCCACAAATAACCATGTGATGATCTTGTTTGTCATCCATGTTTTGCCCCATTTTGTAAATTTTATTTTTGTTTAAGATCTATTTTTTGGGTTTTTTTCTGTGGTGCTTAGGATTGAACCCAGGGCCTTTTTGCATGATAAACAAACTATCACTGAGCTATATCCCCAGCCCCTGCCCTGGATTTTTTATGTTCCTCTAATCTGCTGCTACAGTACCACCAAAAACAAAACAGTGATTCCATTTTGATTCTGAGAACTTCCCCAAAAGACATCTAGGCTTGAGCTTTTACAGAATATACTTCTGCAAATATTCAGGCACAAGTCTATGTACAAACACAAGCTCTGGACTGAGGCTTTAGCTCAGTGGTTCTAACGCCTGCCTCGAAAGCACAAGGACCCCAGTTCGACCCCCGGTACCAAAAGCCCCCTAAACGCACAAGTTCTTTTCTTTTTGTTTCCTCTGGGAGAAAAACCCGAGTGGGTAGCTCAGCAGTGCAGTGCCTGCCTCGCAAGCGTGAGGTCCCATATTCCTGGCACCGAAAAAGGAAAAGGAGAGAGAGAGAACAAACAGGAGAATGAGGGGTGCTTTGTTTTGGAACTTTCCAGTTCTGTGGGGGAAAATTAGCATGAGGCTGGTTGCCTGACCTGCAGCACCGCTTTATGCGCATGAGTAATTATTATTTTTGCTATTATTTCTCTTTGTCTCCCTGGACGACTAAAAAGGCGCTGCGTAAGCAGTAAACCCCGGGATAAGGTCTATAACGTGGTCCAAAGAACAGATTTTCAGTCCCGGGGGTTGAAGGTAAACTCCGGAAAGCAGAGCCACATTGAGCTGTTGCCACAGCATGCGAGAACCGAAGGACCTCCGTGGGTCACCTCGGGACTGGAGGCCAAGGAAACGCAGCGTTGGATGCTGGGGCGGGGCATCAAGGCCAGACTTGGTTCCTTAAACTTTGACTTGAGTCTAAGTGCTGGCGAAGGAGCACTCGATCCCAAAATACCGGGGCTTGGAGTTGTGCAGATGGCGCTCCGCTGGGGCATCGTGTCCGTCGGCCTCATCTCCAGCGACTTCACCACTGTGCCGGGCCCGCTGCCCCGCTCCGACCACCAGGTCTGCTCCCCTCCGGGTCCTGGGGGAACGGGCTCCTGGGTCCGGGTAGCGAGGATCCTACACCACGGCTGTTTCCCCGCTCCCTCCTTTTCTTCTCCACCTCAGTCCTGTAGCCCTAGCCCTGGAGGGTCGGAGGGTCTTATCCTCCGGCCGGCCGCACCTGCTCCAGCCCCGTGAGTCTGATCCCGGCGTCCTCCGGGTGGTGGCGGTAGCGGCCCGCGAGCTGAGCCGGGCGCAGGGGTTTGCGCGGAAACACGGCGTCCCCAAGGCGTACGGCTCCCCTGAGGAGCTGGCCAAGGGCCCGAATGTGGGTGAGTGGCGAGGGTGGCCGGCGCGTCGGCTCCGGGCTGCCCCGTAGGAAACGTGAGGCTCCCCGGGCTAGGGGCCCGCCCGAGGGGCACGAACGGATTTGATCTGTCGCGATATTCAATCGAGTCAACCTTCCGCAGTAAGAACCAAGCTTAAATTTCTAAAGAAGCCAAGGAATCTGTCAAGGGTTTAATTTTAGTGTACATGCCGCTCAAGCGGGTACTCTGGTAAGGGTTTAATTAACCCCTGCAAGCCAGGCGCGATGGTTCACGCTGGGAATACCAGGTATTCCGGAGGCTGAGGCAGGAGAGTGGCTCGAGCCCAGGAGTTCAAGACCACCCTGGGTGTTGTGTCCAGCGGGGAGAGGTAGGGGGGTAGGGGTCCCCAATGACCCTCCACCTCTCTTCGTGTCCTTCGTGTCCTTCGTGCTATTACTCCAGGGAGGAATCCAGAAGTGGGGCTCTTAGCGGAAAATGGGAGAATCGAGACTGATGTAGTGCAAAGTGAGTCTATTTTAGAAGTGTGGCAAATGGCAAGGAAACAGGAGTAACGCTATCTTTTTTTTTTTTTTTTTTGCTACCGGGGATCGTACTCGAGTCCTTGTGCTTGCGAGGCAAGCGGTAGAACCACTGAACTAAATCCCCGGCCCAAGTAACACTATCTTAACAGAGTGGTGCTGCAAGAAAGAAGTTTGAGGTGTACTTCATACTTAGAGGTAAGGTGGTTTCTAAAAATAACTGTTTCACTGGTGTGACCTAGCCCAATCTGGGTCCTAACCTTTGTTTCTGGGAAGAGGACATGGTTATTTGGGGACTTGTTAACCACGGGTAACAAGGAGTTTATTTCTCAAGTATAAGCATGTGATGATTTCGCAATGTTATTCATCCGGGTTTTGTCCTGGGTTATTGTTTTTGGCCTTCTATCTGCCCCTATGTGGGCAACATAGCAAGACCCCAACTCAGAAAAAGGAGGTGTGGTGGAAGACCCACTTCATATGCTGGAAGCAGAATACTGACAATGTCTAGAGGTGACAGCAATTGTTTCCTTCCTTCCTAAAGGGATATTAGGGTGTGAGGACTTTGCCCATGGATGGGGGAGCCCTCTGACTGTGGACAGGTCACACAGGTCTCGCATCACCTAACTACTTACCTTTTTCTTCTTTTATAACTTTTTTTTTCCAGTATCAGGGATCGAACACGGGACCTTGTGCTTGCAAGGCAGGCATGGCGCCACTGAGCTAAGTCATCTTCTACCTTAGAAGTGGCCTATATTGGCACTCAGCACCCTCAGCACAAGGCTTCGGTGCTGATGTCTCTGGCAGTAGGCAAGGCTGTCCTGTGTGAGAAGCCCATGGGTATGAACGCTCCAGAAGTTCGCAAGATGGTCTCAGAGGCCCAAACCCAAGGTCTCTTCCTTATGGAGGTGAGGGCCTCAACCAACATTCACTGTAGCACTGCTTGCCATTACTAAACATGGCCACCAGCAGACGTTTTTGGAGAACCAAGGCATCTTCCACAGTCGAGATGGCCACAGGAATGGAGCAGGGTCAGTTGGGGTATAGTTGAATGTACTGGCCACACCCATTGAGAGCACAAACCAAAGTTCAGTGCTTGCCACTCTAACAGGCCATGACTCAAAGACAAGTTGTTGAGGCAAAGAGAAAGAGTTGTTTGGAAAGCTAGCAAACTAAAGAAGATGGAAGCTGACATCAACCAAGACCATCTTGTTTAGAGGTTGCAGGGAAAAGGCTTATCTAGGGAGTTTTGTGGAAGTAGATCCCAGTAGGAGGGCACCAAGGTATTTCCAAATTCCAGAGTAGTTACAGATTATGGGGTCTGCTGTTTTGTGTAGGTAACTGGATGCTCTGGGTTCTGTAAATCTAAAGAAAGTTACTGACCCATAAGCACAGCATTTAGGGAGGCTGAGATGGGGGATCAAGTCCTGCCCAGGCAACACAACAAGACTCTGTCTTAAATTTGTAAGAAGAGTAGGGTTGGGTGTAACTCCATTGGAGAGAGCCCCTGGTCAATCCCTACCACAAGGAAGAACAGAGAAAGGAAAGGAGAGAGGGAGGAAGAAAGAAAGGGAGGGAAAAAGAAAGGGAGAAAGGAGGAAAGAAAAAAGAAATTGAGTAGGAAGTCTCACGGCTCGTCTTTTTAGTTCCTTTTCTGAGGACTAGCTAATTCTCCAGTGTACCTGGATATCAAAGGTATCCTTTCCATGGGGAAGAGGGGAAGATAGCAAAAGGCAACTTTTCTCTGGAAGACCAGGGAAGATAAAGAAAAGCAATTTTTCCCGAGGACGGAGGACGGAGGAGTCACATTCCCTGGAGAAGTTTTTAACCCATTGTGTAGAGGTGTCACCACAGCAAAGCTAAAACTAATAGTGTATCTTCCAGCTGTGTGACTCCTAAAATCAGTGATGGTTTGTTTGTTTTTTGAGACAAAATCTCACTATACGGTTTAGGCTGGTCTTGAACTCATAGTGATCCACCTGCCTCAGTGCCATGCCCAGTAAAATTAGTGATTGGGGGGTGGGTGTTTTTTGGGGAGGTTTTTTGGTACCAGGTACTGAACTCGGGACCTTGCCCTTTCGAGGCAGGCAGCAGAACCACTGAGCTAAATTCCCAGCCGATTTTTTTTTTTAAACCCAGGGACTTAGCTCAGTGGTTCCGCCACCTGCCTCAAAAGTGCAAGGTCCTGAGTTCTATCTCTGGTACCAAAAAAAATAAAAAATAAAAGAGCCGTCCTTGTAACACGATCACTGTGGAATCCATTGCATTAAGCCCTCAGCAAACATGGCAGGTCTGGCTTGGTTGTGTGGATCCTTTTTCAGCTGTTGAGAATGGGCTTAGTTCTGGTCCCTTTCCAGGGATCAAGATCAGAAGGATTAAGGAATCTCCTTCCATCCTCAACATCAAGCAGTCTTTGCTTTGCCTAACCAAAGAGTCCAAGAAATTCCAGTACTTAGATTATGATCCAGTGTCAGTGGACAGTGCCAGTAGTTAAAATGGCCACCAAATGGCACCTGTTAGCTATTTCCATGCTGAGAAGTATTATGGCCCTAAACACCTTGCTGTAGATTCTGCCAGTAGTAGCAATGGCTGCCATGTACTTCCCCAGTGGCCTGTCTAGGTGTTGCAAGCCCAAGACACAGCTAGCCAAGTTTCATGTATCCAAGAGGTATTTGGCCCAGATTTTTTTTTTTTTGGAGGGTACCAGGGGACCTTGCACTTGCTAAGCAGGCAGCAGAAGCACTGAGCTAAATCCCTGGCCCAGATGGCCCAGATTTAATGTGGCTACTGTATATGCCTCCTCACTGTCCCTTGCTGGTGTCAACATTGTGCAAGTTTATTACTTCATCATTTTTATTGGTGCTTTCTAATCCTGTAATAGAAAGAGAGGACTTTAAACTAGGGAGAGTCACCTGGCAGGGATTTAGGAATGGTTCATAAAACGGCGCAGACATAACTTGCCTAGTAAATGAGCCCAATAGCTGGGAGCTGCTGTTAGGCCATGGGGAGCATAGAAAGGTACTGAGCAGGGGTTAGACAGTCAGCTCTCAGGGAAGGAAAGATTTCTGTGGACCATCTGAAGGGTGGACAGCAGGGAAGAGGCTGAGTGTATTAATGTTCTGAGCCAAGCACAACGAAGTGCCAAGGACTAAGTGATTTAAATAACATCAATGTAGCCAGATGTAGAGGTGCATATCTGTAATTCCAGCACTGGGGAGGCTGAGGCAGGAGGATTGCTTTGAGTTCGAGGCCAGCCTGGGCTACATGCGAAAATAAATAAAAGGAATGTACTGGTGTCAGATGCCTGTGATCCCAGCACTCGGGAGGCTGAGTCAGGAGGATTGCCGTATGGTCAAGTCCAGCCTGAGTTATGGAAATCCTGTCTCAAATTCAAAAATAAAACCAAACCAAACCAACAAAACTACACCTATGAAAGTGTAAGAAGCACAACTCAAACTGGCCTGGACAGAGGGTGAGACACCCCCCCACTCCCACCCCCGCCAACTCTGACCTCTGGTTTCCAGCCAGAAAGTTTTCTTTGTCCCTGTTGCCTTCCATGGTGCTGGTTTCATAGTTGAAGACACTGTTAAGGGCAGCTGTGACATGGAGCCAAACAGCCCAAGTGACCTCAGGCAGGGAACAGAGTGGGTAGCAGTGGACCAGAAGCCAGGTCCTAAGTCAAGAGCAACCAGCGACACCTACGCCTTGGTTCTCCGTGTCTTCAATGACAGATTTCTAAGAAGATTTGTGAGCTTGGAATAGCACAGAGGCAAAGTTTATTGCAAAATGGTGGATTTGCAGAGAGAGAGAAAGGCCTGAAGATGGCCAAGCCCAAGGTAGCAGCTGCCCCAACTAAGGCTCAGGCTCCATTTCTTTGATTAACCGGGTCCTCTGGGGAACATCCTTTCCCTCCTCTGAGGTCATTGTTCCATGTTGTCATTGTCAAACATGATTTTTCTGCCTCAGCGCCCCCAGTGCTGGGATTTATAGGTGTGCACCACCACACCTGGCTTCAAACCTCTTTTTGTTAATTTTTTTTTTGAGGGGGGAGTTGAGATAAGGTCTCACTATTGTGGCTCAGGCTGGTCTTGAACTCATAGCAATCCTCCTGCCTCAGCCTCCCAAGTGCTGAGATTACAAGAATAAGCCACAATGCCTGGGGCTTCAAGCCTCTTTTATAGGGGTACTAAAGCCTTTCCTGTGGGTCAAGCCTTGATGACCTACTCACCTCTAAAAGGACATGAATTTGGGGAGTAATACACGGTCAGGCCATAGCAAATGGCATAGGAGTCAGCCTAAGCACACTGGCTTCTCACTAGATGTTAGCTGCTGGCCATTCACTTGGAGGCCCTGCCTTGCCTGTATTAGCCTCCCCCAGCCCCAGACCCTTATCTGTCTCGCCAGGGAGGGAGGGAGGGCTTTGTCCTCACCACCCTCTAGCCAAGGTTATGAGTGCAGCTCTTTCGGCAAGGTCAGAGCTTGAGCTCTGCCCTTCCCAATTTAAGGCCAATGAAGGAGGCCACAGGAGGCTTGGCCCACTGATAAGGTCAGTGCCTCACTCTAAGCAAGACTTGCTTTCATTTCTTTTGGAGCAGCAAGTATAGCCCCTGTATGACCCACTCCTTGTGAGTGGCCGGGACCTACTGACCTTTTTTTTTCAGTATGGGGGATTGAATTCAGGGCCTTTGCAGTGAACTACATCCTTGCCCTTTTTAAAATTTTTTTGTTGTTGTTAAATTCTTTTATTGGTACATTTTAGGTATACAACACAATTACATTTCTTTTTTTTT